GTAGCTGAACCGGCGGCGGAGGAAGAAGTTAAGGAGGAATCTCCGGAGAAAGAAAACGGGGAGGTGAAGGAGAATCAAGAGACGGAAACAAAGGCAGAAGAAGAAGAAGAAGAGGAAGAAGCCAAACCTGTGGAGAAGGATGATGCGAAAGGCGCTTCTTCTTCGGAGCAGCAGGAAGAGAACCACACGGCCAAAGAGGAGGAGGAGCGTGACGATAAGAAGAAGAAGAAGCCTGGGCCTCGTGGTAAGCGAGGGAGAGCCTCGAAGAAGGAGACGGAGGACAAAGGGGAGAAGCAAGCGGCTTCCAGAGCTAAGCGACCTAGGACGACCAAACCCCAAGAAGCTGAGCCTGAGTACTTCGAGGACAAGCGCAGTTTGGTATTTGCTTTGTTCATCTGCCGTTGAACTTTTTCTGCTTATCCCATTTTCACATTCACTGTTCTGGGTTTTTCCAGTTGGATATATGCATTCCATGGTTGTGTGTTTGGGTTGTTGTAGCTATGATGATGCAATCTGGGTGTTCTTTTGTCACGCAGCCAGGACTACTAGCTTTTGCAATGGGCACATTTCATTGAAAACATTAGGGGTTTCTTTGTGGCAATGACGAGTTTTCTCAAATTCTACGCGAAATGTTAGAACTACTGAGAAGAGTTTGCATAAAGGGTTATCAAAATTGCTAGTTTTTTAGGCTGCGTTGAGGGTTTATAAAAGTGAATGTGATTAGAGTCTGCTATGTCTAGTTTCTTGGGTTTCTTTGTTTTTTGTTTTCTTAATTATGCTCTTTGAATGCTTAATCATATTGCACATATGTTTATGTGTTGTCCAGGAGGATTTGTGGAAGGCTGCATTCCCAGTTGGAACGGAGGTACGCTGTTTCAAGAATTTTGGCTTCAAAATCAGTCTTCGTGGATACTTTTCTTTTATGATGTTACATCTCTGTTGCTTACACTCTGTAAATCTTGATTGCAGTGGGATCAATTGGACGCACTTTATGAATTCAACTGGAATTTCACAAATCTTGAAGTAAGTTCTAGATCACATTTCCTTTTTACTGCCTGTTTGTTAAGCAATTGTAATTGTTTCCCTAATGATGCAAAGATTTTCGTATGTTTTCAATTAGATTCTTAGTGCATTTTCTTCATCTGTATTGCCAGGAAGCATTTGAGGAAGGAGGAAAGCTAAGCGGGAAAAAAGTCTTTGTTTTTGGTTGTACGGAACGTAAGCTGCTTCTTGTATTTCCCCTTTCTGTCCCAATCCGCATTTCACAGCATTCACCTCTCTTTCTTTTTGAACTTCTTCTTGCTTAATCTCCTCTTATTCTTGTTTGCAGCTCAATTAGTCCCATACAAAGAACAAAACAAGCTTGTTTATGTTCCTGCAGTAGTTGCTGTAAGTATCTGTTTTCAACCACTTGGTAGTATCCATGTCTAAGCCTGTCTTTGATTCTTGCAATACAAATAAGCACTGTAACATGGTGCAACATGCTTGCTTGATAAAACAATGCCATGCTGTTTCTCTTTTCCTGGTGGTTAATTTTTTGTTTCTTGCCTATTTCACAGATCGAATCTCCTTTTCCACCTTCTGATAAGATAGGTATTACATCAGTTCAGAGAGAAGTGGAGGAAATAATTCCAATGAAAAAGATGAAAATGGACTGGGTTCCTTACATACCGCTTGAGAAAAGGTACGTAGATGTGGAATAATTGGATCTGAGTATATTTCATCGGAGGACCCAAATCAATAAGGACAAATAGAGAATGTCAGATTTCACTACTGTTCTTACCTTCCAAATTTATCAGGAATTTGCTGATTACATGTTTCTTGTTACTCTGCAGAGACAGACAAGTTGATAGGTTGAAGTTTCAGATTTTTATTTTGGGCTGTACGCAGAGAAGGTAAGAATATCATGTTGCATCTTTTTGTAGTGTTTTTGATGATCATCTCTGCCAAGTCTTTTCGCATCGGTAATTGGGAAAAAAATTACATGTTTGTTTACTTCGTACAAGTAATTTTGAGTCATACATCTCTAGCCTTCCTAGGAAATATAATGGATCACTTTATGTACGCATTTGCTTTCAGACCCGAGGTTTAAGCATTTCGTTATGAATATGTAAACATTTAGAATAGAAGACAGTGATTTATATTCCAGTTCTTCTATAGAGGATATTTACTCATCTGACGTTGTGCTTTTGCTGCAGAGCTGCTCTCAAACATATGAAGGAAGAGCTTCTAAACTAGTTAAATTGTTGCAGCATAGAAAACCATTCATGGCAGATGATGGTCACTGGGCATAGATTATCTGTAAAGTTCAACATGTCCGAGTATTTGATGATGTTCTCAGTATATATGCCTGTTAAATGGTTCTTTTTACTTCCTACAGTTTTCTCCTGGTAGTAGGCATCGGCAGAATTTAATTACTTGTATTTATTCCTTTGCAGATTTCTATCAACCGTTCAAGGAAGATGAACTTGAGCAAAGCACTGTTGTTCAAATAATGTTCCCCTCTGAACCACCCGTAAGTTTTTTGGGTTTTCAGTCTCCTGAAATGGGTTGATGTTCCAATCAGATTATCGTAGTTGGATACTTGCATTTCATTTGAGGTTAGTAGCTTTTGAATCAAGCTCATTGTTCTCCTTTTGCAGGTTGTTTGTGAATTCGACTGGGACATGGATGAACTTGAGGTGTGTATAAAGCCATTTTCCTTTTCCATTGGGATTCATGTGTGATCAAAATTTGCTCCCATCCACTCAATATTCATTCTGAGACCAAAATGTACAGGCTTAGTTCTGCTTTTGTATTAATGTTCTGCATCCTTTTTCTTCTTTCAGGAGTTCACCGAAGATCTAATCAAGGAGGAGGCATTGACTGCTGATCAAAAGGACGCTTTCAAAGTATGTTCATCTGCATATGATAGTTAAGTCTTGAGAATCATGTGCTTCTCTAATCACCGCTGGACTTTTACTCTTTTTTCCAGGAGTTTGTCAAAGAGCAAGTTCGAGCAGCTAAAAAAGCTAATCGGGAGGTACTTTCTACATCCATGTTGTCACATGTCGACAAGTTCCATTCAGTTATATATGTATGTATGTGTATATATATGAGCCATTTGCTAATACTGTATATGATTACAGGCAAGAGAGGCCAGGAAAAAGGCGATGGAGGAAATGAGTGAAGAAACTAAGCAAGCGTTTCAGAGTATGAAGTTCTACAAGTTCTATCCACTTCCTTCTCCGGACACACCAGACGTGTCGGGCGTTAAGGTGATTCACAAAATCTCTGTACCAGAAAGCTATTAGATTTCATTGTATCTATCCATCCATCTCAGTCTTTTTCTTTATCAGGGTTTTTTCTTATACACATATATATACTTGTGTGTGTGTATATATATATGGTTTCTTATGTGTGTGTGTATATATGTTGCAGTCCCCATTCATTAACAGATACTATGGGAAGGCCCACGAAGTTTTGTGATGATGGAAATGGGAGATCGTAGCAGCCATACGGCCAGTTTATTTCAGGTGCTATCAGAAATATGAAAGCATATATAATAGAGGTAAGTTCAAGAGGGGGCATACATCCCAAGTGCCCAGTTACATCTTCCTTTGATAAAACCCAAACAAACAAACAAAAAAAACACTATGATTGATGTCTTGTAATGAGCTAGCCGTCTCCAGAAAATTTAGTTATTGGCTCTTTTTGTTTGTTTGTTTTTTGTTTCTACCGTAGCCGTTAAACGAGAGCAGAGTCGGATGTCGGAATTTGGCACTTTTTGTTTTACAAAAGGTAAAATTTGAGACCCTTTTTTTTTAAACCCTCTTTTACCTTCTGTTATTTACTAGCTTTTCAAAGTGATGCGAGTAAAAAAAAAAAAAAAAAAAAAAAGGGACGAAAAAGTTTCCATATCTGATGGGAAAAAGCCATATTGAAATGCCCAATTAAATTCCGTGCCTAGGTTAGTTCTAAATTTGAGTTGTCAACTGTATGTATGTTCACATTGAGATTTTGTTGGTAAGAAATAAATTTTATCCTTTTTTTTCTTCCCACAAAATTTCCACAGAAACTCACTGATGATGTATGATTCATTTGTATCCATGTATGTATATGTGGCCAAACTGTATTCATGTACAAAATATTTTTCAAATGTTTATTATTGAGGCAAAGTTAAACAAAATCTGAAAACTTGTTTTTGTATAAAGTTGAGGATATCCCCAAACTATATGTCTACCTACATATTTAGAAAGATGAAATAAATGCAAAATCTACAAATTTTGGAAAAAAAAAAAGGAGAGTTCTATAATGAAGGAAATAAAAAAAAAAATCCAAATCCAAAGTGACTTGCTAAATGGGATCGAGTGGGCCTATATGCAGCCCAACAGCCCAAATTGACTGCTAAGAAATACTGAATGAGCCCATTGGCAATAAAGAACTTGATATATGGGCCTTATCCTTTAAAAATAGGCCTCACGTTACATTTGGGCCACCGTCCAGTCTTATATTAAATGTGTCATGCTAAATCTTTCATTTTTTTTCAGTTGATTATTCTAATTAGAAATAATCATTTGAGTAATTATATTTGAATTAAATTACAGATAAATATTTTTTTAATAAAAATGAATTAAATTATAAAATTTTAAATGAAACGGAGTTAGGAACAAAAGCCCAAATTCTATTTATCGTTAATATCGACGAAAAGAAATATCAAACGTCATCATAAAAGCGTCCAAAAAAAATCCAAGTACACTAATGCCTTTGTGGCTATGAGAACACGGTGTACTCATCGACCAATCAGAAGGGCCTCACATCTCCTTCACTCATCTCATCTATTGCCACGTGTCCTCCCCATATCCACCCCTTTAATTCCCTAAATTTTTTTATTTGAATTTTCGTGTTCTCCTTCACTGTCTCCTGCTTCGTCGCTCACACGCCGCAGAATTCTTTGCAAGTTCCTCACTCACTTTGTCGCGAGAACTTCAATTTCCTTCTTCCGCGCAGAGAAGCCATGGAAATTAGGGTTTAATCTTGATCTTCTCTGAGAAACCCACCAATGGCGGCTTCTTCTTCTTCTTCTTCTCTGTTGCTGCCGGACATCAATTTTCTCTCCCGGCAATCTACGATCGTTCGTCGTCGCGTCTCTCTCTCTGGAATTCTGCTTTCTAGAAATCGCTTGAGGTGTCGTAATCTTCCACCTCTTACGAGGATTAGGGCTTCCAAAGCGGACAGTGTCGCTGTTGAGGATCGGGAAAATGCGGTGATCAAACAAGTTAACGGAAGCGTGGGTTTGAATGGAAATGGCGCTGCTTCTAGTCGGAGCGTTAATGGAGATTATCGATACGAAAGCTCGATCGAGAAGTATACAAACAATAATCTTAACGGTAACGGCAGTTCGGTGAAGTTTGTTAACGGCGGCGTCAGTACGGTGCCGAAGGTGGAGCCTGAGGAGGTCTTGGAGTCGAGAAAGGAGGAAGTGAGGAAGAAGAGGATAGAGGATATTGGTAAAGAAGATGCATGGTTCAAGAAAAGCCAACAAGAACAAGTCGAGGTACATTTCTATTTACATTGAGAAAAGCTTGGAACTTTGACTTGCGGATTTACAGATTTTTGCACAATTACAATTATCATTTTGCAAGTTTTCATGTTCCATGATGGGCTTGTTAATTGTCTGTTATCAAATTCTCAAACGTGTTTCAGGTTTCTGTGGCGCCTGGTGGTCGCTGGAGCAGATTCAAGACCTACTCAACGATACAAAGGACAGTGGAAATATGGGGATTTGTTCTAACTTTCATCTTCAGGACCTGGCTAAGCAATCAGAAATTCTCCTACAAAGGTTAGTACTTTGTCCCCATTGGCCCAAAAAACAAAAAAAGTTTCCAATTTTCTATAAAATTCCATATATTGAATAATGTCTTTCCGCTAAGTGCCACTACATTTGACTTCTAGAACAACATGACGAGCTTGTGCCCTGAGGTTGTTTCCTCTTTGGTACACTCTGAGTTCCCAAGTCTTAGAAATTATACATACGTGCAGGGGGGATGACTGAGGAGAAAAAGGTTCTGAGAAGGAAGACCCTGGCAAAGTGGTTGAAGGAGAACATTTTAAGATTGGGTCCTACATTCATCAAAATTGGTCAACAATTCTCTACTCGAGTGGACATCCTTCCCCAAGAATATGTTGATCAACTGTCAGAACTTCAGGTCTGATTTCTTATGCAGGTCCGATTGTAATGAATTCAATATGAAATGGTAGTTGGGATTGTGCTATCTTTCATTTTAATATTTATGTTCAGATGATTCACGCATTTGATAGACTAGCTCTCTGTTATTGACAAAGAGTGAACTCAAATTAAGTTGTTATACTTGCAGGATCAAGTTCCTCCTTTCCCGTCTGAGACTGCTCTGTCTATTGTGGAAGAAGAGCTTGGAGCACCTGTTGGCGAAATCTTCGACAGTTTTGATTATGAACCTATTGCTGCAGCTAGTCTTGGTAATTCATCTCAATGAGGGCCTACTTTGATGTGGAAATTGCAGATATTCGATGAACAGTTGTTTCCCTGTCTCTGAATCATTGGGGATGAAATGACTTTAACATTGTAATATCACTCATTATCTTACTACCTACAGGCCAAGTTCATCGTGCAAGGTTAAAGGGTCAAGAAGTAGTTGTCAAGGTGCAGAGACCTGGTCTGAAGGATCTCTTTGATATTGATCTTAAAAATCTAAGGGTGAGTGAGTGTGGATTCCAAGATTTTGCATTGAGTTGTTTTTCTTTCATAATTGACGTCGTGGCTGCATGTTGGTTTTCTCGAGTTTCTGTTTAGGTGATTGCAGAATATCTCCAAAAGGTTGACCCAAAATCAGATGGTGCAAAGAGAGACTGGGTTGCAATATATGATGAATGTGCTAGCGTGTTGTATCAGGTATTTCAATGTGTTCCATGTTCGTCGATGTTTAGATGGCTGGATAATTGATAAGTCTTGGTCATTCTACGAGTTTCCTTAACAGATTGATTAGCAGAAGAATTGTTTATTACTATTCAATATTGACCCTGAAACTAGTACTGTGGATCACTGAATGTTTCTGCTGTTAGTTGAACTTGGTATTGAAATTCAGCACAATTTTCTTTTCATTTCCTTGTTCCATATTTTCAGGAAATTGATTACACAAAGGAGGCAGCTAATGCAGAACAGTTTGCTAGTAACTTTAAAAGCTTGGACTACGTGAAAGTTCCAGCCATCTTCTGGGATTATACGACACCACAGGTTTGGCCTCCTGAATACCATGAATTTCATGTATGATCATTATTAGTACGTTAAACACATAAAGCCATAAGCTCGGACTTTGCTCTTACGTGTTAAATTCTCTGCAGATCTTAACCATGGAGTATGTTCCTGGGATAAAGATAAACAAAATACAAGCCCTGGACCAGTTGGGTGTTGATCGGAAAAGGTAAGAGTATTCTTTCAGCTCTTACCGCATCTGTTGTTTTTATGCTGATCTCTTTGAATCAAAAAAGGAACCTTTGTTTTTTGCCATTTTAATTTGGAATGATGTTAGGTTGGGGCGTTATGCTGTTGAATCTTACCTCGAACAAATCTTGTCCCATGGATTCTTTCATGCCGACCCTGTGAGTCTCTTCTGACATTTCTTTGTTCTTGTCATATTCTTAGTTACTTTTATTTGGTCCCTTGCATATCTTATTGCAAGCTAATCTACAAGCACAGCTAGTCATACTGATGTACTCTAGCCTGTTTATCTTCTTCTTAGTGTGATCTTTAAGTAAAATGGTTTTGTTGCTAATGCTTTTGCAGCATCCCGGGAATATTGCTGTGGATGATGTCAATGGTGGGAGGCTGATATTTTATGACTTTGGAATGATGGGAAGGTACCTGATTATCTGCTATGCAAAAGATTTTGTCATTCCAATCCAATCCTGTGATTCGATTGGAGCAAAAAGCAAAGAGTAAAAAAAAAACAGATATTTTTCTTGCCTTGTTAGCTGCGCAGTAATCTACTCTGTGTTCCGCAAAAGTGACTTGTTCTGTCATGCGAGGGACTTTGGACTCATGGCTATACCAGCTGGACCACATGAGCTGTTACAGTTCTTCACAAACATTTTCTTGATCTTTTGCAGTATCAGTCCCAACATCAGAGAAGGTTTATTGGAGACATTCTATGGTGTTTATGAGAAGGACCCAGATAAGGTAGTCAGTAATTTCATCTCTTTGCGTATTTAACAAATTCGGTTCTTCTGTATAAAACCTAAGCTTAGTATAGTACGAGGGTTTCATGAACAAATCTTCCCGTGGCAGGTTCTCGAAGCTATGGTTCAGATGGGTGTGCTTGTACCTACCGGAGATATGACTGCTGTCAGGAGAACAGCTCAATTCTTTCTCAACAGGTGACTTGTCTATGATCTTTGCATCACCATCGATATTTCTGTCATCTCAGATCTGTGTTTTCAACAATTTTGACCCTCATTAGCTTTCCTTGACCAATTTTTTTTTGCCAAAAAGGCTCACGCTGGAGGGCTTAAGATGAATCGTTAGGCATCTTAAGCCGATAGAATAAGCTTAATTTGGAACTTTTACCAGAGAAAACTGTGTGTAATCCAGATTTGGTTTCTCCATAATGTATAGCTTAGATACAGTGCATGTCATTGATCTCAGTACGCCATTACTATGTCTTTCAGCATCATATTTGTTATAACCGAAACCATATTTCAGTTTTGAAGAGCGGCTTGTTGCACAGAGAAAGGAGAGGGAAATGGCAACAGCAGAGCTCGGTTTTAAAAAGCCTCTGACCAAGGAAGAAAAGATAGAGAAAAAGAAGCAACGGTTGGCTGCTATTGGGGAGGACTTATTGTCTATTGCAGCTGATCAACCTTTCCGTTTCCCGGCCACATTCACGTTCGTTGTTAGAGCATTTTCAGGTATAATGCCGGATTTGTTTGATCGACTATTCTGTTTTTTGTGTTCCGCTTAAACCAAATTTCATCTCGAAGTTGAACTTCTTTCCTTCTCTACTAACAGTGTTGGATGGCATCGGAAAGGGTCTTGATCCTCGTTTCGATATAACAGAGATCGCCAAACCGTGAGTTGTGGATACCAAGTTAGAACCTGTACTCTGCTATACCCTTTGGTCAGAATCTGGTGAGAATCCAATATTTTTGCTTTGTAGCTATGCTTTGGAGTTGCTAAGGTTCCGAGAAGCTGGAGTAGAAGTTGTACTGAAAGTAAGCTTGGCCCTCCGTCCTTTACTCCACTCGTGACGTTTATAATATGCGGCAAATTTTTCATATCCAATCCGGTAATTGGCACAGGACCTGAGAAAGAGATGGAACAGGCAATCTCAGGCATTTTACAACCTGTTTAGGCAGGCTGACAGAGTGGAAAAGCTAGCTGAAACCATCCAACGACTGGTAATAGGATAGATCATTACCGATCTTCTCTTGTGCCTAAACTGATTGATGGGATTGTCTTTTCCGAGAACTAACAAGATCGTTTATATATATATATATATATACGAACTATCTTCACAGGAGCAAGGCGACCTGAAGCTTAGAGTCCGAACTCTAGAAGCAGAGAGGGCATTCCAACGCGTGGGAGCTGTTCAGAAGACTGTAGGAAGTGTAAGTACAATAAATACAAGATTCTGTCTGGTTTCTTCTCCTGTCTCTCTGTTTGCTTTCACCGAGAAGATGAATATGGACAATGGTTCATCAAGATTCGATTTTTTGACTGATCCCTTTTTTTGGGGTTTGGCTACTCATCACAGGCTGTAGCTGCCGGAAGTTTAATCAATCTTGCCACTATTTTATACCTCAATTCTGTAAAAGTAAGCTTCTTATATACGTATATATATAATCCCGAAATTAAAATTTCGCATGTGGACGTTTCATAATCTAATTTGTGTGTGTTGTGTGTGATGGTATGTTTTTCCAAGGTGCCGGCGACTATAGCATATACGTTATGCGCTTTCTTCAGCGTCCAAGTCCTTGTGGGAATCATAAAGGTGAAGAAGTTGGACCAACGTGAAAAGCTGATTACCGGAACTGCTTAGCCTCCTCGGTATGTTCCTGTTAATGATTTGCTTTTTAATAACGAACCTTGTCCATGCATTTGAACTAAAAAGTCAACGCTTTGACATTTTATCAAATGCCAGATTATGAATAAGAGCTCCCCCCCCCCCCCAA